GTTAACGAAAGTAAGGAAAAACTAAGAATAGATTGGATTTTTAGCAGTTCAAATACTTTCATTTTTTAAATTCATATAAATCAATCGATTGTTAATTGAAGGTTTGACTTGAACCAAATAAGTATTTAATGACAAATTTTCCTAATTATTAATTGAAGAAGAAGACTGAGACGGATTAATCATACCTAATTTTTGGTTGATGTGATAATCTTTCCATCAAGTTGAATCTTGGGGATATGAGCAATCTTGGGCCAATCTTCACCTGTTTCCGGTTTGCATCTTTCACACAAGTAAGGACAATCTTCAATTTGTAATTCTCTCAAATCAATCAGACAATTAAAATCCTTGGGCAAAGATGACAATTCTGGACAATCCGCAATATGAACATCTTGAAGTGATTTGAGATCCTGCATTGAGTCTGGTAACGCCTTGAAGTTGGAACAATCTTCAATATTCAAACTCTGCAAAGTGTTTGCTAAACCTTGAAGAAGCCACTGTGGCAATTCCTCCAACTGTGGTAATTGTCCAATACAAAGCACTCGAAGGTGAGCTCTAGGGATATTGAGGTATTGATGGTTGTTTTCCCCTTCTGTTCCCATGCTCAAATCGAGATTAAGCTTTTCACAATCAACCAACATCAAAGTCTCTAACGAGTTTAGGTATTTTATACCATGTGGTAATGAGATTAGATTCGGACAACTTACAATAAATAGTGATCTAAGGGTTTTTAGATAACCAATATCTTCAAATAAATATTCTAAATTCATACACTCGCCAATTCCCAAAAACCGAAGAGATTTTAAGCACCCAACTCCATTCTTTGATAGAAACCTCTGTTTTGTGGTAAACACAAACATTTGGAGGTTAATTAGGTACCTAATATCTGCCGGCAACTCTTCTAATTCTTCACAACCACCAAGAATTAGAGCCTGCAAATGTTGAAGCTTGCAAATGGAATTAGGGAGTTTTCTTATGTTATTATTTGATATATTGAGGTATCTTAAATGCCTCAAATCACCAATTCTTTTGGGCAATATGTCAATTTCAAGGTTATCTAATTTAATCACCCGCACGAACTTGAACCTTGAAATGCACGATTCAATGAATTCTTGGATAGCTCCCTTTCCATTGTCTGCAAATGAATTAAAGGATCTCAATTGACCTAAATTGGATAAAAAGCTTGGAAGATTTATTTTGTGTGTATCAACATCAATCAAAGACAAATGTCGGATTGTTTTGGTAAAACATTGGTCACCTGAGTTCAATATTAAGCACTCTTTTTTCATCAATGACATGGCAAGATCATGCATCAAATCATGCATTTTAAATGTATAAAAACCATACTGTAGTTCAAAATCTTGGAAGAAAGATCTTGATGCTAATTCCTTTAAATACTGTATGCCAACACTTTCTAGATCTTGATTCTTGGTAGAAGATTGAAGAAGCCCATGGGCCATCCAGAATTGAATTAATTCAAAATTCGCAAACTTATAATCTTTAGGAAACATACAACAATAGGCAAAACATGGTTTCAAGTAAGATGGCAATTGATCATAACTTAATCTTAAAGCAGGTAAAATGTCATCTTTCTTTTGATCTAAATTCCAAATCTCATTATCCCTCACATATGTCCAATCATGTTCATCAGTTGAGGAATATAGTAGGCTTCCTAATGTTGTCACTGCTAAAGGAATTCCGCCACATTTTTTCACAATATCTTCTCCAATTTTAATCAGGTTATGATGTTGTTTCTCTTGCCCTTCCTTAAATGCGCATTTCAATAACAAAGACAAGCAGCTTTCATTGGAAAGACCTTCTAGGTTGTACCCATTAACATCTTTCATTGTGCCCATAATTGAGGCAACACGATCGCTACGTGTGGTTACTAAGACCACACTCCCGTTACCACTTTCTAACAAAATATTTTTCAATTCAATCCATGATCTACGATCTTCATTCCAAACATCATCCATAACCAGTAAGTATCTCTTACCATTCAAAGTCTCTCTCAACATCTTCTGCAATTCATCCGTATCCAACTCACTATGACTTTGACCAGTTACAGACTTGATTATTTTCATCATTAATTGTTTCAAACCAAAATCGTCCGAGACACAGATCCACATTCTTGAATCAAAATGATTACGTATCCTATCATCATTGTAGGCCAATTTTGCAAGAGTGGTTTTTCCAAGTCCTCCAATGCCCACAATAGGAATGACAGACAAGTTTTGACCATCATTTGAGTGGTCTATTATTAGCTTTATGATCTCTTCTAAATGATCATCTCTACCAATAACATCTGAAGCAACTACAAAGGAATGTGTCATTTCCCTTCCTCTATTCACAACACGCCTATTTTCATTTCGTTCAGTGAGATGAAATTTAGTCTTAATAGCTGCAATCTCATCAAACCGCTTTCTAATTTCTTTTGTTTTACGTGCCATCATGTAACGAATAACAAGTGGATTTGAGGACGATACCAAGTAGCGTACCTTTTTTCCAATGCTCTGCTGATCAAGAACTTGTCTCCGAACAACTTCAACCTCGAGCTCATCCAGAACATCTTCAGCATCGTAACAGGCATCGGTGAGCTTTTGCAGCCAATCTCTTAACTGGTGACTCTGAGCTTGCTTCTCCTCAGCATCTAAAAGCACAGCTTTCACAGAGGACAATGTCTCCTTGAGTTTTTTCAGCTCATCTTTCACACCCCATACGGATGATATTTGTTGATAAACTGCTGTTCCTAACTTTTCAACGAGGCCAAAAATCAGCGATTCAGCCATGGTAGATTCCGAAATTAAAGACAATGGGGTTTCTTCTATCAATGCAATTATGCAAGTGCTGATCTATATTTGAGAGTTTCTATAATAGTTGGTGGGTTTCTTCAGCCTTGATTTTTGAAACTAATGTTGAGGGGATAATGTTATATTCTTCAAACTTATTTATGAAACTTTCCTGAGAATAATTGCATACTAAGATTTCGTGCCTTGCATGAAGATAAGTATATATTCTTTGTCCCTTTCCTGTTTTTAGTTTTTGTATATTCTTTGTCCTAAATGTAAGTAAATTAATTAAAGTTTTGAATAAGATCAACATTTAATTATCATTGAAAATATTGCTTGATCGCATATATTAAAATAGGAAAAGCTTCCAAATTCCAACGTCTTGTGTGTGTGGCGTATTCTTTCTTTTTAATTCCATTTTGTATTGTTTATAACAAATTTAAGCAGCAAGTTTAATTTAAGTATACATCCTTTACTTTATGTCCCCAACCCTCTTGTCTTTAGTTTCGGAATATACCATGGCTGAATTGATTTATTTTTGTTTAATAAAACTGTAAATAGATTTTCTGGACCTTCACATTCAGCATTCTTTACAACTTTCAAAGAAAGCTTCAATAAAAGCATTTCGTAGACATTAACTGATTTCTCCTTTAACTCAATGCTCAACAATTCAGTCACTGGTGAACTTAAAAGGCTTAACTAGAGCTATATCAAAATTAATAATAATAATAATATCATCTATGAATTCAACATAATCAAAATACAGAACACACAATAATTCGATTGCAAAAAACATGTATAGTAAATAATTATTACTCATTTCATTCTATATCATTTTAAAGTATAATTTTTAATATCATGTTCATGGTTGGAAAAAATAATACTTAAATTCTTGTTATAAATTTTAGTTTATGTCACTTATATATAATTTAACTTTAAAAAATTCTAAAAAAACTGTTATAATACTAACCATAGTTGCATTGCCTTGTTCTTTCATGAGGTCATGGCCCCAAGTCTATTCTATCTCTTACATTTTGTACAATTTCCGGCCAGCATAAAAGCCCAGCCCACAGTTCAGGAATCCAAACAAAATAGGCCCAAAACAAACTTAATCAGCTCAGGCCACGCAGGCCTCAACTATCCCATGCCATTGGGCCCACAATTCTACAGGCTATAGATGGCCCAATTAAATCAAACTGAAGAAAAGCCCAAATAAAATCATAGGTCCATAATATTATCCATTCTAATTAAAAAAATCAATCAGACCTATATATGACTTAAACAGGGCACGGGCCCAAAATGTGTGTGCTCTGTAATTTAATATGCATTCTGTGTAAATGTTAACGAATTCTAATTTTCTTAGGCTAATCATGCGCTTATTCGGTTATATATTTGTACTTAGACTTTTTAATTTGATTTTACGCTTATTTAGTTATAATCATAATTACCTCATAAAATAATTTCTGTAATTAATGTGATATATATATATATATATATATATTTGTTTATTTTTATGAAAGAGAAGATGAATTAGGTTTTCATGTTAAAGGGGAGGGTGATTTAGGGATTTAAAGGTTTAAAGAGAATAGTTTAGAATTTTTAAAAGGGGTAAAAAATAAAATTGCAAAGAAATAATTATTAAAGACATTTTTACGTTTACTTTAACAATTTATTGTTTAATTTTGTATTTTGAAAAATAGGTTGCTGTAATTTTCCCAAAAAAATCAAAATTCAAGGCTATGTTTGGTTCAGTATTATTATCCATATTCTCGATCTGATTTTTCAAATAATGTTTGTTTTATTATTTGCACAATCTAATCTGCAAAATATTTTTCTTGACAGTTTTCTGACTCTCATTTTGACCATTGCCTTTTATTTTTCTCAGCTTTCTATCACTGACATTTCCCACTTTTTTTTTACCGTTGGCTTTTATTTTTCTCAGTTTTTTTATTATTCTTCACTGATATTTTTCCACTTTAATCAAATATTCAACACAAATATTAAGGTTAAAATACTCTATCAAACACATATTCTGCAAATTCTATTATCGTAATTATAATCCTATCCAACTATCCAATATTATTCCTAAAATCCTATCCAAAATGATAAACCAAATACACTCCAAGAAATCCGAACTAATGTTAAAGAAAAAAAAATGCTAAAACGTTATTTTCAAAAAATATAAATAAATAAATAAATCCTCACAAAAATGATTAATTTTAAGTATTTCTCGTAGAAGACGTGAGAAAGCAGGTGAATGGTAAAGGTATTGCTGCAGTCCACCATCGCATTTGCAAGCAGCAGTCGGTGGTGGTACATTTCACACCCATCAAAACGCTGCCGTTTCATCTCCACAATCAAGGCAAGTAAATCAATCAACTACCTTGACTGCATCTTCTTCTTAATTATTCAACAATGGTGTTAATGACAATTTGCTATGAATAATATTTTTATTAAACTGAACTCAGATGTCGACGGAGGCGTACAAGTTTGGCCCTTATAAAATCGACGCAAAGGAAGTATTCTATTCCACCAATCTCTCCTTTGCCATGGTTAACTTGCGCCCTGTTGTTCCTGGTACTTTATTCTTTTTTATTCCTTTCTTTAATTGCCTCTTGTTGCTTTTATGTGTGCATCGGTCTCTTACTTTGGGTTAATTTCTGTTTTTTCTTTGCAGGTCATATCCTTTTATTTATTTTATTTTTTTTGAATTATTTGGTATTGATTTTAAATTTTATTTAGTGGAATTTGATGAATGTTGTTGTGTTTTTCATATAATTAAGCAATGATGACTTCAAAACGTTTGATTGCTGGAAATAACAATTGAGTCTTCACTTTTAAAATGTATGTGTAACACATAGCGAGATAGAGGCCATTAGACATTTCTTGATTTGAGTAATGACTATATATATAGAGCCCTTTTCTCAAATAGTATGAATTCCTTCAGGCGGCAATTCGAAAGTAAAATCTTGCGTCTAGTCCTAAGCAGGAGCCGGTAATTGCGGGATGTATATCTCAGCATTATTCTCCCATTATGACGTGTTAGGCTAGATAAAAAAGATAATCTGTACCCTCAGCTGTGGATGTATTAGTTGGAGCCTGATATAACTTTGGTTTGCTGGTTTGGTAGACTTTATAAGCATATCACGGCTCGATCAGAAATGATCTTTCTCTTCCAGGCCTCTGAAATATATAATATATTTTGGTTACAGATAATATATCTGGACAAAGTAAGCTGGTGCAGGTATTACTAGTTGCCAACTAAGTGATAGGTGGAAGCACATATTTAACTGTTATACACCTATCAGTTCATTAAGGCAGAACCTGTGCCACAGCCTTGAATATAATTTCTAATGGTGCTTATGTGTGTACATTTGTTGAGTATGATAGCTGATAAAACTATAGGACTAAGTTACATATCTAAATGCTACAATTTGTTTTGTATATAGTATTAGAGGTTGGTGAAAATAGAGAACTACAACACTTGATTAGTCAGATCCAGAATTCTGATCTACACTAGAAACCTGATTAGCTTTCTTTCCATGGTTGTGTATGATTTTGCTTCTGGGTTTGTGTGCGGTTGCTTGCACATGTATACTTCTGCATTTGCAAGTATGGTATATTCAGTGGACTTAACATATGTACATGTGCTTATCGTCCCAAAGCGTGAAGTGAAACGTCTTGTTGATCTGACTGCTGACGAGACTAGTGATTTATGGCTCATGGCTCAGAAGGTTGGCAAACAACTTGAAAGCTACCATAAAGCTTCGTCTCTCACATTCACTATTCAAGTAAGACCAATCTCTAGCGGATTCTTATTTGCATGCTTGCTACTTGTGTCTTGTGTTAGATGCTTCTATGAAATGTGAACCATACTGATTTCTATTTGGCAAGATATTTTCCATGGTACGGCTGTAATGAAAGTCAATAGCTGTGAACCTCTTTAAGTGGATTCTTTTCTTTGATCTTATGTTTTATTTGCTCACATTTTTCTCTCTAGCATTTATTTATTTATTTTCTTCATGTTCTTGTTTGTATTGCCTATAAATTAGCATTTACTGGGGGATGCTTAATTGAAGAGAACAATTAGTAATGTGCTGAATCTTTTTAGTTTTCTGTCAACTTATCTATTTGGCGAGGTGTCCCCTTAGCTCTTATTTCATAGAGAATTTTCATTGGTTTCATTGATTTACTAATGAACTGTTAACTTTTTATGTTAGACAATCTTCATATATTATCTTGTAAAGAATTTCAATTTAGGATGTGTATACAATATAAATGGACATACAAGTCACTTTTAGTTGGATTTTGTTTGAATCGTGAATTTCTATTTGCAATTTATAGTAGATGTTTTCTGCTTAGAATATCAAGTAAATGATGTTTGATGTGATAACTATAAACTGAAGGCGCTGCCTTCTGTTCTGAAGTTGGGGCAATGTAACTGCATGATATTTCTTAGAATGGAAGCACATGTGCAGTGCATGAGTTCATATTCAATCTCCCAACCTAGTGTTGCTGTGGTTGGATAAACTTATGTTCTGTCATTTTTGTCTGTTTAAACTAAATTTCTGTTTTTATTTTAGGATGGGCCTGAGGCTGGACAGACTGTGCCCCATGTTCACATCCATATTCTCCCACGGAAAAGTGGTGACTTTGAGAGGAACGATGAGATTTATGATGCTGTAAGATGGATATTTTCTTTAATGCTTTTTCATGATTTATCACCCAACCTTTATGTAAATAGTTTACTTTGCCTGCTCTCATGGTGCAGATAGATGGGAAGGAGAAGGAATTGCAGCAGAAACTTGATTTAGACAAGGAAAGGAAGGACAGAGGCTTTGAGGAGATGGCACAAGAGGCAGATAAATTCAGATCACTTTTTGTGTAGATATGCACCAAAGCTACCTCCGACTTCCCTGGACACTTATGTTAGCATAAACTTATCTCAACTTTGTGTTGAAAGATAAAAAATGAAAATAACAGTAAAGTGGTATTTTTCCGTTTCACATTTTATGTGGGTGAGGATAGTCTGACAAGAGTAGAATGCCTGAACCGTCGTCATCTATGAGACTGATGACTCATGAGTCTTACGGATGTTTATTGTTCAGAGTATTACATAACTTAAGTATACAAATTCTTGTGTACAAACTGATTTGGCAGCCTGGTTATCGTATTTAAAGTCATCTTTATTTTGAATATATGAAAATTGTCTGCAGGCATGAAATAGCTTCTCATGGTAAAATTAATGTTTGAGTTGATAACCAGTTGCAGAAGTGAAGCATGTTATGAATTTATGCCGAGTTAACTTAAATAAAATCACTCATATTAGATCTTAGAAATGCATAAACGAAGAGTGGACCTTAAGCTTGAAGTAGGTTTGCAAGTTTCAATTTACTAATCCAATTTATCATATACAGAAGCAAGCATTCACGGTTGTATCTAAAACAACTAATGTCATAGTGGGCGTCAGTGGGTTGACAATGTGACCTCTCTTAATACTTAAATCGGTGATTTGTTTTTTAAGAAAGTTTTAAGTGATTGTAATGAGAGTATGTGTAGTATTATTGTTAAGTTTTTGTGTAATGTATATGAATAATGTCATTATAAGTGGCATTTATAGAGGCTTGTCTTTTATAGTTAATTTGCCATTCTTTATCAACCTTCAAAGTTGTGGTTAAATGGATAATAACTGTCTTTTAATTTGCCTTGGTTTCATGTTGGGCTTAATTAGGCCTGTTAGACCAGCTAAATTTTTCCACAAATTTCTAACACCCCCAACAGCCACAGAATTGGTGGTTTAATTTAATAGAAATTATTAGGAAAATTAAAAGGGATCATGCATTTTTCTTTTTCTTTTTATAAAAAACTATGGGCAAACTTAGCCCATGATTTGACTCCTAATATTAATATTTATGCCGAAAGTTGTTGAATTGTTGCTTTCAATGTTTAGTTTGTTCTTTTTGGATGGTTTCCAAGATGCATTTCTTTATATTGCTTTTAAATTGTGGAGGCTACCACTTGAGATTATGATGATATATGCTTCATTTTTTAACTTGTTTGTATCTGATTGTTTAGTTCTATATATGTAGAAAATATTGGTGTGCTGAACAGCTGAAGTCAAGGTTCTATATTTTTTGGTTGAATTTTAGTGCTAAGAGTTGTTGCATTGTATTAAAATACCAAATCTTCTATGAAACAATTCTATACAATAATCTTTTCTCTTACTCCTATCCCATTAGGTAATCAGTTATTGAATATTTACCATCAGTTTAGTTTGCCGTTCATGCTCATTCATATTTTCCAAAAATCTATGTCAATGTAAGTTTTCTCCAACATACATGCCAATATAAATTGAACCATTGAATTATAAAAACTGGAAAAAATAAAAAATAAAAAATTAATGCCTGTTTTTTAAACCCTAAACCCTAAAAAAGTACTCTAGCACTTGAAAATATTTGTTGAACATTTGATAAGAAATACTCGAGGGCTTGAGAATAAATATCCAGTGGAGTATAAATCTGGAGGGTGAAAAAGCCACCTATTATGTTGATGAAATTTTTTTGTTTTTTGGATGATCGGTGATGTTCAAGTCAGTTTACACGCACTTTAATTAATCTTTCGAGATCTTAGAACTATCGATCGGATACAAACTCTAGTTGCCCTCCTATTAGCAATCGTGAAGACTTGAATTTAGAAAACCATGTTAGATTCTCCTCTTGTTCTTTTAGCCTTAAGGGAATTCAAACTTATACCTTTACGATTTTCAATAGAACAAACCAGTTGGTGTTTTTATTAACTTGCAGTAGAAATCTAAAATATTATTGGCTATCACGTTATTTATATGACCAAATAATTCATTTACATCACTTATAAATATTTTTTTCCTCATGAATGTGATGGATAGTTAATGATTAAAAAATCATGTGGCAATAGTATGCAAATGACATAATACCCTATGAAGGGTCACAGGAATTATCCACCAAAAAGTGGTCATTTGCTTTTACTTTTATATTTTTCTTTCTTGTTATTCCTATATATAAAGAGGGTTGAATGGAGGTGAATAATAAAGGACTCAAGGTGTAGCTAGCTGAACGCTGTATCGTGGTCGCCCACAGCTGCCGGTGGTGGTTCATTTCGCTCTCATCGAAACATTGTCGTTTTATCTTCACCTCCCAGGCAAGTAAAGTTGACTAGGTTTAACCGAACATATCTTCATAATCAACAGTATTGCTGGTGCTACTGATAGTTTCATTTATAAAAATAGTAATGTGCAACAGAGCTGAGATGTCAATGGAGGGTTATTATACGTTTGGTCCTCACAAAATCGATGCAAAGGATGTATTTTATACCACCCAACTCTCATTTGCCATGGTCAACTTGCGCCCTGCTCTTCCTGGTACTTTACTGTTTTTCTCCTTCTTTAACTTTAATTTATATCTTCCTGTTTTGATCATTTTTATTTTCGCTGTTTGCAGGTCATATCCTTTTTGAACGATCATGTACATGTTGGTTCTGAATAAACATTCTTTTAGTGAACTCTTTTGTTTGAAAACCAGGGCATAATTTGCTGATAAATGTTTTGTTTTGTGGGTTTGAATTTGATTGTGTTTGACTTAACATAAAAATGAACATGTNTGATAGTTTCATTTATAAAAATAGTAATGTGCAACAGAGCTGAGATGTCAATGGAGGGTTATTATACGTTTGGTCCTCACAAAATCGATGCAAAGGATGTATTTTATACCACCCAACTCTCATTTGCCATGGTCAACTTGCGCCCTGCTCTTCCTGGTACTTTACTGTTTTTCTCCTTCTTTAACTTTAATTTATATCTTCCTGTTTTGATCATTTTTTTTTTTTTTTTTGCTGTTTGCAGGTCATATCCTTTTTGAACGATCATGTACATGTTGGTTCTGAATAAACATTCTTTTAGTGAACTCTTTTGTTTGAAAACCAGGGCATAATTTGCTGATAAATGTTTTGTTTTGTGGGTTTGAATTTGATTGTGTTTGACTTAACATAAAAATGAACATGTGCTAATCATCCCAAAGCGTGAAGTGAAGAGGGTTGCTGATCTAACTGCTGAAGAGACTTGTGATTTATGGCTCACCGCACAGAAGGTTGGAACACAACTTGAGTCCTACCACAATGCTTCATCACTCACCTTCAATATTCAAGTAATCAAGCCATTTATCAGATTCTTATATAATATAATGTTTAGTCTGCCAATTAAAACTAAGTCAATTTTTATTGAAGGATGGGCCTGAGGCTGGGCAGACTGTGCCCCATGTTCACATCCATATTCTCCCAAGGAAAATTGGCGACTTTGAGAGGAATGATGACATTTATGAAGCTGTAAGATGGCTATATGTACATATTTCCCTTGGTGCTTATTTTATATATATATATATATATATATATATATATTGCTTAAATACTCGATCACTAAATTGGCTGCAATGATGGTGCAGATAGATGAGAAGGAGAAGGAATTAAAGCGAAAACTTGATATAGAAAAGGAAAGGAAGGACAGAAGCTCTGAGGAGAGGATTCAAGAAGCAAATGCATACAGACCACTTTTCCTGTGACATTTTATGTCAACTTCAACTTGTTTAAAATATTTAATAAGATCACAATTTCTTATTAATAGGGTTACGTTATATAACTTCATTTCGAGTTTGATTGGTTTGTTAGTACACTTATATAACCCTAAAATAATCTCCTTGTGTTTGTGCAATAGACTGAAAATGGTTCTGCAACACAAGAAATGAAGGTACTAAACTAGTCATAATTTGGTTGTTAACACAAAATAATTACTCACACAAATGATTAAAAAAAAAAATGGAATTATAGATAAAAAATATTAACTCAAAATCTGTGTCATTTTATCTGATATCTTCAAATTATTTTTTATATCAATTCATTATTAAAATGAAAGTTCCATATATGAAGATAAATCATTTTAAATTTTTTTATTAATTGTTATTTGTCATGTGTAACATCTTAGTTTAAATTGTTGGGATTGTATAGCTCACTTTTCTATTTGTTTTTACGTGAAATTGTTTATTTTTAGAAAAACTATTTAAAGACACTAAAACAATGGCCCAAGTACACAAAACTTTTTGTTAAAAGTAAGAGGTTTTATAATAGGGTTGAATAGACATCATTCATGATAATAAACCATCATCAAGTAATTCAATAATTAACTAAGACTTTTAAATATAGTATTCAAGAGACTCTGAGTTTGATCTATCTGGGTTGTTAATAGCGGATAGTCAATGAGGGGATTTACTTACTATCAACTTAAGACCTTCAAAAATTAGTTGAAGATCTAGATGCCATCAATCATGATAAAGAAAAAAGGTAGTTCAATTATCCAGATTTATAATTAATAATGGCCACTAGTTATTTCATCAACTTAATTTATCGTGATGTAGTGGTTGAGCTGTTGGCATTAAGCTGGTCAGGGCGGTCCTCAAAATACAAAATCAAAGGCTTTACAATTTTATACATTGAGACTATTGAGGTAAAATGTTGGCACTAAACCACATCGATTCTTTTATAAACTGATTTTTCTTGAGGTAAAACTAACGCAATCAACTTTAGACAAGTCATTTTTCATGAAATTCAATTAAAACATCTGTAACTTATATATCTTCTTACTGCTATCATACTCATTGAGCAGCTAGTTCTTTTGTTTAATTTTATTTATATATTTTTTATTAAAACAAAGTTCCATTAAATTAAATAATACATTGTGAAAACCATAATTAACTTAATTTTGTATGTTCTCTTACAAAATATATAAAAAGGTTTTCAGATAAAAATTTCATTTACACTGAGAATAGAAGAAGTTTGATTTCAGTTAATAGATTTTCCAATGCATTGGATTTATGATCTGAAAGCAACAACAAATTTCATTCCTTATACTGGAGTTGAAGTACAAATGCATTACATATACACCCCCTTTTTTTTTGCTTAAAGACAAAATTAAAGATATAAAAATGTCATATAAACCACAAAAAGAGATACATACCAACGAAATAAAAGAATTGGACTCACCCCACATGTCTTTTAAAACTACAATCTCTCATATTACAAGAAGGCAGCAGCATTTGAAAAGGATAAACGAAAAACAAATCACTCTTCAGGCGCCATCACAATCAAAATACCCTTCGATACTTACCCACAGCTATGTTCATCGAAGCGTGCAAATTGCAAAATGCTACATAATGCAGTCCAGACATGTTGTCCCCATTTTTGATAGATCAAGAAAACAGACAACTTTTAGTTAGGATGCAAAAGAAGCAGATTAATCACTCCTTTAAACAAAACAAAAAACCTTTTTTAAGCCCCTAGAATAAATCAACTTTCTTTTTCTGCATGTCTTGCTTCCATTTTGGCAACTTATAGAATCCTTCTTTTGTCATCCCGAACACGTTCTGGAACTCCTCATCTGACAGATAGGCCTGAGAAACCATATGGAGAAATACACTGAATATCGATCGAAAAGCTTAATTGAAATGAAAGTAATAACATTTACGATGAGACTAACCTCTCTTCGTTTAAAATCAATTCCAGTAACTGGGTTGTCGGATTTGGCCTTCAGTTGATCGTAACTGAACGTACTAAGACCTGATTCACTACCGTTATCATCCTGTGAAGTCACTTCCTCTCCGTTGCTTTCTGATACTGGCGCAACTTCCTCAACCTCCTTGACCTCAGCAACTTCTTGAGAATCCGATTCTGACTGGGCAAATTCGGCTGAAAACATTAAAAGGTGTCAGATGTTCCACAGTTTAAGAACCATGCATAATCGAATTTACATGGCAAGAAAGCATCTGCAACACTTAGTGACCTTAGTATGTACTGGAACAGAACACTGAAGCAGACAAATTAACGCAATAGTGAAATTACTAAAGGCATCCTATCAATAATTTAAAGAGAATTATAACAACGTTCTTACAGGGAGGGTTAGTTTCTGGAGGAGGACTGCTACTGGATCGGGGAGGAGAGGCATCAGGTGATCTCTTCTTTTCTGCAGTAAGAACTGACGAAAGAGCTGCCACTGCTGCTGCTCTTTGTGATCCCTGACCTGCGCTGGACGGCTTTGAAGCGGAACCTTTGCTTCCCGGTGGTGAATTAAATGCAGAAGATAAGGCAGCTAAAGCCGAAGCTCTTTGAGTTGGTCCTCCTTGGTTTGAACCATTGGACTTATCTTGGGCCTACAGTAACATAGAATAACAAATAACCATGTCATCAGTAAGGAGGTTCATGAATATCATGGAACAGATACACAATCATAACCAGAAATAAAGACATAAGATTATTTCATTGACGCCCCTTATTTATTGATTACATAATTCAGCTACCATTTTGACAGAGGTTGACCTTTAAAATGACACTTCCACCCTCAATTTTTTCGGAAGGGATGAATGAAAGAATGAATTTAACCTTGTACCTTTTCCAAAAATGGAAAGATAAGATAATATTAAAAATAAATTTATTCTCAACTTTCTTTTAAATTTTTCACAACACCATGTATTGATCATCAAAGAAATTTTCCACTAGGCTTGATATTTCCGTTGATTAAACCTTTCACAGCACCCAAGAAACATTTTTTTTTTTTTTTTCCTTTGATAGGAAATGTAGGAACGTATATTAATATTAAAAGAGACTTAGATAGTGGATCAGAAATCCACTACTACAAAAATAACCCATTTACAAGAAACAAAATATCGTCACCACCGTGCAAAAAAATTTGAAAAAGCAGAAGCAAAAATATCAAGGTTGAGCAACAAAATATTTCCACTATGCTTTAAAATTCCTTGACTCATGAACATACCAGCTCCAATATCAAGACTGCTAAGATCAACCACAATTTTTGGACGAATGTGTTCACCTACACCATAACTTGTGGGTTTTGGACCACTGTTCTAGAGACAAAACTCTTTCGTGGGTTCTCTAAAGATTTACACCAGAAACACTTAATCCGCTGGTTTGAAGAGCTGAAGTAATTGTGAGTTTTGTGAACTATCCACAGTTACTCTAAGTTGGATCCTAAGTGCTTTATGGAAAGGCACAAAATTGTTTGGTATAAACATACTAGTAAACTATAGTATTTGCCCAATATCAATTATCAAGTGAGTATGGCCCTTGAATTTGGAATCAAAGGACTTAGCTAAAAAAAGAAGAAAAAAGAAAATTTGGGGCTGACAAGAGCCCCATACCATATCAATTCCCTTTTTTTAGATATCTAGACACTCTTATGAAGTACCAAAAACAAAAAAATTGCTTTGCAGCCTAAATGTTAGAAACAAATGCAGACTAGTAATTTTGTTGATCTCATGCCACCAAACCTAGCAATACATCAACATGGTGAATGTTCTGTTTTAACTAAAAGATATTGGGAGCTCCAGAGGAGGGTCACAAAAGAATTGAACAGGGACAACCAGTAACAAGAGTTTGACCAACAACAGTTGGGGAATATTATTTTTGGCGAAAGAGTTGAGATAAAAAGATCTATATAACCCAGCCACTCTAGTTAAAGCTTATTTTAGAAGCTGTTTTGTGCTGTAAGCCATGTGCTAGTGCCAATTTATACTGTGATAGAAAGTTTATACTTTCAGATCACATGAAAATTTAAATTTAAGCAAAAGATGTGCTTCTGAACAGTGAACACCTTCCAAATTATTGGTAATTCTTGATTTGGATTATGATGGGTAATCACATTATATTCTGTGATAGAAAGCCATGTGCTAGTGCCAATTTATACTGTGATAGAAAGTTTATATTTTCAGATCACATGAAAATTTAAATTTAAGCAAAAGATGTGCTTCCGAACAGTGAACACCTTCCAAATTATTGGAAATTCTTGATTTGGGATTTGGGTTATGATGGGTAATCACATTATATTCTACAACTAAAAGGGAAACTAACTATTAGGCTTCATTCAAAGTTGAAACTCCATATAGCAAAATCATGTTTATCAACCACAGTGCAGCAACAAACATAATAGTCTCTACTAACAAGGATCTCTGGTTTCCTTGGCAAATCTATCTGACTCCCTAGAAATAAAAAATCATAGTACAAGTTCAACATGCCTGCATTTGGAGATCAAATTATACATAGAATTGAACACAAAAATGAAAGGAATGTATTAAAATCTCTGTAGCATGAGGAAAGAATTTACCAGATTGGATTTCCCAGAAGATGGATTAAAAGCAGAGGATAAGGCAGCTAAGGCAGAAGCCCTTTGAGTTGGTCCTCCCTGATTTGTGTTTGACTTATCCTGTATCAAGCATGTAGTGTATAATATTAAACGGCCACCAAGATACCCAAAGATTAACTTATGAAATCGATAAATGAATTTTTAATGCACATATAAATGCATCGTTTAAGGATCAAATGTAAGACTTAATACAAAATTCTAGGTATAATACAACCCTCCCCCAAAACACTTATATTCCCTGATCTGAAAAACAGGGTTAGGGAATAATCCAGGAAAATTCTTCAAAAGACTTGCCCAATGCATGTAGTAAAACAAGAATTTGACAGCAATAAAGCAGTGTAAAATTATGGTGGCAATACACATAAAATATTATAAGATAAATACAGTATCTCATGTTTTATGACATATAGCCAAGGGACAGGACTTGGTAATACAAGTTTTTAACTTAAATTGAGATAGAAATCCTTGACCACTCATCTACTTCATCCAAGAACTTAGAAAGTTATAAGTTAGTAACATCAAATGCAACTTTT